CGCTGACGAAAATTATTAAAAAAAAGTATAAAGATTAAAAAAATTTATTATTTCAAAATGTAGAGATTTTCTAAAAATTATGAGAAATATACCATTATATATTTCGTGTGCTTAATATTGAATGCGATATATCGTATGCGACAAATCGTATGCAATATGTCGTATGCGATATGTCGTATGCGATTTGATTTATAAAATTTTGTTCATTATCCACATCGCTGACGAAAATTATTAAAAAAAAGTATAATGATTAATAAAAATTTACTATTTCAAAATGTAGAGATAATCAAATAATTATCAAAAATATTCCATACGATATGTCTTGTTTTAAACAATGAATGCGATATATCATATAAGAAAAATCGTATGCGATTTGATTTTTTAAATTTTTTCATTATGCAAATCCCTGATGAAAATTAAAAAAAAAGAGTGAAGAGTGATAAATATTTACTTTTTCAAAATGTAGAGATTTTCTAATAATTATGAGAAATATCCCATTATATTTTAAGTGTGCTAAATATTGAATGCGATTTATCGTATGCGATATGTCGTATGCGATATGTCCTATTCGATTTGATTTATAAAATTTGTTCATTATCCACATCGCTGACGAAAATTATTAAAAAGAAGTATAAAGATTAATTAAAATTTACTATTTCAAAATGTAGAGATATTCTAATAATTATCAGAAATATTTCATACGATTTGTCTTGTTTTAAACAATGAATGCGATATATCGTATAAGACAAATCGTATGCGATATGTCGTAGGGGACCAATCGTATGCGATATGTCATATACGATTTGATTTTTTAAAATTTTTTCATTATGCAAATCCTTGATGAGAATTAAAAAAAAATAGTGAAGAGTGATAAATATTTACTTTTTCAAAATGTAGAGTTTTTCAATAATTATCAGAAATATCCCATTATATTTTTCGTGTGCTTAATATTGAATGCGATATATCGTATGCGACAAATCGTATGCAATATGTCGTATGCGATATGTCGTATGCGATTTGATTTATAAAATTTTGTTCATTATCCACATCGCTGACGAACATTATTAAAAAGAAGTATAAAGATTAATAAAAATTTACTATTTCAAAATTTAGAGATTTTCTAAAAATTATCAGAAATATTTCATACGATATGTCTTGTTTTAAACAATGAATGCGATATATCGTATAAGACAAATCGTATGCGATATGTCGTAGGGGACCAATCGTATGCGATATGTCATATACGATTTGATTTTTTAAAATTTTTTCATTATGCAAATCCTTGATGAGAATTAAAAAAAAATAGTGAAGAGTGATAAATATTTACTTTTTCAAAATGTAGAGTTTTTCAATAATTATCAGAAATATCCCATTATATTTTTCGTGTGCTTAATATTGAATGCGATATATCGTATGCGACAAATCGTATGCAATATGTCGTATGCGATATGTCGTATGCGATTTGATTTATAAAATTTTGTTCATTATCCACATCGCTGACGAAAATTATTAAAAAAAAGTATAAAGATTAATTAAAATTTACGATTTCAAAATGTAGAGATATTCTAATAATTATCAGAAATATTTCATACGATTTGTCTATTTTTAAACAATGAATGCGATATATCGTATAAGACAAATCATATGCAATATGTCGTATGCAATATGTCGTATGCGATATGTCGTATGCGATTTGATTTATAAAATTTGTTCATTATCCACAATGCTGACGAAAATTATTTAAAAAAAGTATAAAGATTAATTAAAATTTACTATTTCAAAATGTAGAGATATTCTAATAATTATCAGAAATATTTCATACGATTTGTCTTGTTTTAAACAATGAATGCGATATATCGTATAAGACAAATCGTATGCGATATGTCGTAGGGGACCAATCGTATGCGATATGTCATATACGATTTGATTTTTTAAAATTTTTTCATTATGCAAATCCTTGATGAGAATTAAAAAAAAATAGTGAAGAGTGATAAATATTTACTTTTTCAAAATGTAGAGTTTTTCAATAATTATCAGAAATATCCCATTATATTTTTCGTGTGCTTAATATTGAATGCGATATATCGTATGCGACAAATCGTATGCAATATGTCGTATGCGATATGTCGTATGCGATTTGATTTATAAAATTTTGTTCATTATCCACATCGCTGACGAAAATTATTAAAAAGAAGTATAAAGATTAATTAAAATTTACTATTTCAAAATGTAGAGATATTCTAATAATTATCAGAAATATTTCATACGATTTGTCTTGTTTTAAACAATGAATGCGATATGTCGTAGGGGACCAATCGTATATATCGCATATGCGATTTGATTTTTTTAAATTTTTTCATTATGCAAATCCCTGATGAAAATTAAAAAAAAATAGTGAAGAGTGATAAATATTTACTTTTTCAAAATGTAGAGTTTTTCAATAATTATCAGAAATATCCCATTATATTTTTCGTGTGCTTAATATTGAATGCGATATATCGTATGCGAAAAATCGTATGCAATATGTCGTATGCGATATGTCGTATGCGATTTGATATATAAAATTTTGTTCATTATCCACATCGCTGATGAAAATTATTAAAAAGAAGTATAAAGATTAATTAAAATTTACTATTTCAAATGTAGAGATTTNTAAAAAGAAGTATAAAGATTAATTAAAATTTACTATTTCAAAATGTAGAGATAATCTAATAATTATCAGAAATATTCCATACGATATGTCTTGTTTTAAACAATAAACGCGATATATCATATAAGACAAATCGTATGCGATTTGTCGTAGGGGACCAATCGTATGCGATTTGATTTTTTAAATTTTTTCATTATGCAAATCCCTGATGAAAATTAAAAAAAAAAAGTGAAGGGTGATAAATATTCACTTTTTCAAAATGTAGAGGTTTTCTAATAATTATGAGAAATATCCCATTATATTTTTCGTGTGCTAAATATTGAATGCGATTTATCGTATGCGATTTGATTTATAAAATTTGTTCATTATCCACATCGCTGACGAAAATTATTAAAAAGAAGTATAAAGATTAATTAAAATTTACTATTTCAAAATGTAGAGATATTCTAATAATTATCAGAAATATTTCATACGATTTGTCTTGTTTTAAACAATGAATGCGATATATCGTATAAGACAAATCGTATGCGATATGTCGTAGGGGACCAATCGTATGCGATATGTCATATACGATTTGATTTTTTAAAATTTTTTCATTATGCAAATCCTTGATGAGAATTAAAAAAAAATAGTGAAGAGTGATAAATATTTACTTTTTCAAAATGTAGAGTTTTTCAATAATTATCAGAAATATCCCATTATATTTTTCGTGTGCTTAATATTGAATGCGATATATCGTATGCGACAAATCGTATGCAATATGTCGTATGCGATATGTCGTATGCGATTTGATTTATAAAATTTTGTTCATTATCCACATCGCTGACGAAAATTATTAAAAAAAAGTATAAAGATTAATTAAAATTTACTATTTCAAAATGTAGAGATATTCTAATAATTATCAGAAATATTTCATACGATTTGTCTTGTTTTAAACAATGAATGCGATATATCGTATAAGACAAATCGTATGCGATATGTCGTAGGGGACCAATCGTATGCGATATGTCATATACGATTTGATTTTTTAAAATTTTTTCATTATGCAAATCCTTGATGAGAATTAAAAAAAAATAGTGAAGAGTGATAAATATTTACTTTTTCAAAATGTAGAGTTTTTCAATAATTATCAGAAATATCCCATTATATTTTTCGTGTGCTTAATATTGAATGCGATATATCGTATGCGACAAATCGTATGCAATATGTCGTATGCGATATGTCGTATGCGATTTGATTTATAAAATTTTGTTCATTATCCACATCGCTGACGAAAATTATTAAAAAAAAGTATAAAGATTAAAAAAATTTATTATTTCAAAATGTAGAGATTTTCTAAAAATTATGAGAAATATACCATTATATATTTCGTGTGCTTAATATTGAATGCGATATATCGTATGCGACAAATCGTATGCAATATGTCGTATGCGATATGTCGTATGCGATTTGATTTATAAAATTTTGTTCATTATCCACATCGCTGACGAAAATTATTAAAAAAAAGTATAATGATTAATAAAAATTTACTATTTCAAAATGTAGAGATAATCAAATAATTATCAAAAATATTCCATACGATATGTCTTGTTTTAAACAATGAATGCGATATATCATATAAGAAAAATCGTATGCGATTTGATTTTTTAAATTTTTTCATTATGCAAATCCCTGATGAAAATTAAAAAAAAAGAGTGAAGAGTGATAAATATTTACTTTTTCAAAATGTAGAGATTTTCTAATAATTATGAGAAATATCCCATTATATTTTAAGTGTGCTAAATATTGAATGCGATTTATCGTATGCGATATGTCGTATGCGATATGTCCTATTCGATTTGATTTATAAAATTTGTTCATTATCCACATCGCTGACGAAAATTATTAAAAAGAAGTATAAAGATTAATTAAAATTTACTATTTCAAAATGTAGAGATATTCTAATAATTATCAGAAATATTTCATACGATTTGTCTTGTTTTAAACAATGAATGCGATATATCGTATAAGACAAATCGTATGCGATATGTCGTAGGGGACCAATCGTATGCGATATGTCATATACGATTTGATTTTTTAAAATTTTTTCATTATGCAAATCCTTGATGAGAATTAAAAAAAAATAGTGAAGAGTGATAAATATTTACTTTTTCAAAATGTAGAGTTTTTCAATAATTATCAGAAATATCCCATTATATTTTTCGTGTGCTTAATATTGAATGCGATATATCGTATGCGACAAATCGTATGCAATATGTCGTATGCGATATGTCGTATGCGATTTGATTTATAAAATTTTGTTCATTATCCACATCGCTGACGAACATTATTAAAAAGAAGTATAAAGATTAATAAAAATTTACTATTTCAAAATTTAGAGATTTTCTAAAAATTATCAGAAATATTTCATACGATATGTCTTGTTTTAAACAATGAATGCGATATATCGTATAAGACAAATCGTATGCGATATGTCGTAGGGGACCAATCGTATGCGATATGTCATATACGATTTGATTTTTTAAAATTTTTTCATTATGCAAATCCTTGATGAGAATTAAAAAAAAATAGTGAAGAGTGATAAATATTTACTTTTTCAAAATGTAGAGTTTTTCAATAATTATCAGAAATATCCCATTATATTTTTCGTGTGCTTAATATTGAATGCGATATATCGTATGCGACAAATCGTATGCAATATGTCGTATGCGATATGTCGTATGCGATTTGATTTATAAAATTTTGTTCATTATCCACATCGCTGACGAAAATTATTAAAAAGAAGTATAAAGATTAATTAAAATTTACTATTTCAAAATGTAGAGATAATCAAATAATTATCAAAAATATTCCATACGATATGTCTTGTTTTAAACAATGAATGCGATATATCATATAAGAAAAATCGTATGCGATTTGATTTTTTAAATTTTTTCATTATGCAAATCCCTGATGAAAATTAAAAAAAAAGAGTGAAGAGTGATAAATATTTACTTTTTCAAAATGTAGAGATTTTCTAATAATTATGAGAAATATCCCATTATATTTTAAGTGTGCTAAATATTGAATGCGATTTATCGTATGCGATATGTCGTATGCGATATGTCCTATTCGATTTGATTTATAAAATTTGTTCATTATCCACATCGCTGACGAAAATTATTAAAAAGAAGTATAAAGATTAATTAAAATTTACTATTTCAAAATGTAGAGATAATCAAATAATTATCAAAAATATTCCATACGATATGTCTTGTTTTAAACAATGAATGCGATATATCATATAAGAAAAATCGTATGCGATTTGATTTTTTAAATTTTTTCATTATGCAAATCCCTGATGAAAATTAAAAAAAAAGAGTGAAGAGTGATAAATATTTACTTTTTCAAAATGTAGAGATTTTCTAATAATTATGAGAAATATCCCATTATATTTTAAGTGTGCTAAATATTGAATGCGATTTATCGTATGCGATATGTCGTATGCGATATGTCCTATTCGATTTGATTTATAAAATTTGTTCATTATCCACATCGCTGACGAAAATTATTAAAAAGAAGTATAAAGATTAATTAAAATTTACTATTTCAAAATGTAGAGATATTCTAATAATTATCAGAAATATTTCATACGATTTGTCTTGTTTTAAACAATGAATGCGATATATCGTATAAGACAAATCGTATGCGATATGTCGTAGGGGACCAATCGTATGCGATATGTCATATACGATTTGATTTTTTAAAATTTTTTCATTATGCAAATCCTTGATGAGAATTAAAAAAAAATAGTGAAGAGTGATAAATATTTACTTTTTCAAAATGTAGAGTTTTTCAATAATTATCAGAAATATCCCATTATATTTTTCGTGTGCTTAATATTGAATGCGATATATCGTATGCGACAAATCGTATGCAATATGTCGTATGCGATATGTCGTATGCGATTTGATTTTTTAAATTTTGTTCATTATCCACATCGCTGACGAAAATTATTAAAAAGAAGTATAAAGATTAATTAAAATTTACTATTTCAAAATGTAGAGATAATCAAATAATTATCAAAAATATTCCATACGATATGTCTTGTTTTAAACAATGAATGCGATATATCATATAAGAAAAATCGTATGCGATTTGATTTTTTAAATTTTTTCATTATGCAAATCCCTGATGAAAATTAAAAAAAAAGAGTGAAGAGTGATAAATATTTACTTTTTCAAAATGTAGAGATTTTCTAATAATTATGAGAAATATCCCATTATATTTTAAGTGTGCTAAATATTGAATGCGATTTATCGTATGCGATATGTCGTATGCGATATGTCCTATTCGATTTGATTTATAAAATTTGTTCATTATCCACATCGCTGACGAAAATTATTAAAAAGAAGTATAAAGATTAATTAAAATTTACTATTTCAAAATGTAGAGATAATCAAATAATTATCAAAAATATTCCATACGATATGTCTTGTTTTAAACAATGAATGCGATATATCATATAAGAAAAATCGTATGCGATTTGATTTTTTAAATTTTTTCATTATGCAAATCCCTGATGAAAATTAAAAAAAAAGAGTGAAGAGTGATAAATATTTACTTTTTCAAAATGTAGAGATTTTCTAATAATTATGAGAAATATCCCATTATATTTTAAGTGTGCTAAATATTGAATGCGATTTATCGTATGCGATATGTCGTATGCGATATGTCCTATTCGATTTGATTTATAAAATTTGTTCATTATCCACATCGCTGACGAAAATTATTAAAAAGAAGTATAAAGATTAATTAAAATTTACTATTTCAAATGTAGAGATATTCTAATAATTATCAGAAATATTTCATACGATTTGTCTTGTTTTAAACAATAAACGCGATATATCATATAAGACAAATCGTATGCGATTTGTCGTAGGGGACCAATCGTATGCAATATGTCATATACGATTTGATTTTTTAAAATTTTTTTCAAATCCCTGATGAAAATAAAAAAAAATTTGAAGAGTGATAAATATTTACTTTTTCAAAATGTAGAGTTTTTCAATAATTATCAGAAATATCCCATTATATTTTTCGTGTGCTTAATATTGAATGCGATATATCGCATGCGACAAATCGTATGCAATATGTCGTATGCGATATGTCGTATGCGATTTGATTTATAAAATTTTGTTCATTATCCACATCGCTGACGAAAATTATTAAAAAGAAGTATAAAGATTAATTAAAATTTACTATTTCAAAATGTAGAGATAATCAAATAATTATCAAAAATATTCCATACGATATGTCTTGTTTTAAACAATGAATGCGATATATCATATAAGAAAAATCGTATGCGATTTGATTTTTTAAATTTTTTCATTATGCAAATCCCTGATGAAAATTAAAAAAAAAGAGTGAAGAGTGATAAATATTTACTTTTTCAAAATGTAGAGATTTTCTAATAATTATGAGAAATATCCCATTATATTTTAAGTGTGCTAAATATTGAATGCGATTTATCGTATGCGATATGTCGTATGCGATATGTCCTATTCGATTTGATTTATAAAATTTGTTCATTATCCACATCGCTGACGAAAATTATTAAAAAAAAGTATAAAGATTAATTAAAATTTACTATTACAAAATGTAGAGATATTCTAATAATTATCAGAAATATTTCATACGATTTGTCTTGTTTTAAACAATGGATGCGATATATCGTATAAGACAAATCGTATGCGATATGTCGTAGGGGACCAATCGTATGCGATATGTCATATGCGATTTGATTTTTTAAAATTTTTTCATTATGCAAATCCTTGATGAAAATTATTAAAAAGAAGTATAAAGATTAATTACTTCTACTCATGCAAAAATCAATCAAATCGGAGCAATTTTAGTNAAAAGAAGTATAAAGATTAATTAATTCTACTCATGCAAAAATCAATCAAATCGGAGCAATTTTAGAAAATTGTGGATACAATGTGATCCAAATGAAAAATATAAAAATACAGAGTGATTCAAAAGACAAAAAAAAAAAAAATTGCTGAATGTCGCTACAATGTATATGTTTTGAAATCTACAACTTAAGAGCATTCTATATATGGCAAAATCAATCAAATCGAAGCATTTTCAAAAAATTGTGTATACAGAGTGATACAAATGAAAAATATAAAAATACAGAGTGATTCAAATGAAAAAAAAAAAAAAATTGTTGAATATCGCTACAATCGATATGTTTTTGAAATCTACAACTTAAGAGCATTCTACTAATGCAAAAATCAATCAAATCGGAGC